ATTATTTGTTTCGTGCTCCTCCGACGCGAGGATGACCGGAAGGCAGACAAAGGAGCTAGGGAGAACACATTGGTCTTCTCGTTCAACCCTGACTATTGGTACGCCATACAAATAATTTTATTATGATGTAGTCTAAAAAAAATAACTTTATTATGATGTACTCTACAAAAATGATATAATTATATATATTATAAAAGATGAGTTTAATGTTTTCTTTGAATGACACGTGTTTTTTTTTAAGGGAAAAAATGAAAAGTTGCAATCATTTTGGTTACTCTTTATCTTTTTGGGATGAGATGCATTGGATAATGTGCATTAGACAAAATAAATGAAAAGTTACAATCAAACAATGTAAACGTTTTGGCCATGAACCGGTTTGGTTCAATGTATACAAACTTGAAACATTTTAATATGAACCACTATGAACCACTTTTGGCTCAATGTATACGGTTATTCAAATTCAAAGCTTAACTTACATCTCCTCTATTTCCAGACAAATGCTATATAAGAAATAGTTCTCTGCTTATCTCCACGATTTCCTCAACCACTCAAATTATTTTTAATAGTCCCATGCATGCAGGTTACGCGTCTCCAACAATCTCTTAAGTAACCTCCCTTCTATTCCCATATATCTTGAAATCAAACAATCTCTTAAGTAACCTCCCTTCTACATATATCTCCAACAATCTCTTAAGTAAACATCGATTCTCCTTCACCATTGGTATGTTTCTTTTCATGTGTAAAATATTACGCTAATATTTTTATATTCTCCAAAATACAAAACCAATATCAATGTTATTACCTTCCACATCCTCAGAGGTTTCATTGTTATCTATTCAGTCTAAACAATGAGAATGAGAGAATGGTGGTGGTCGACACCATGGAAATAACAATGAAGGTGCACTACACCCGGTCTGGAGGCAATTCTAAACATGACTTGCATCTTTCATTCGGATATTGAGAGTGTAGCAAGGATCATTCATTCAAACATTTTAATTGAACCAGATTCGGTTCAATGTATACAAAGTTAAAACATTTCAAAACATTTTAACTGAACCACTTTTGGTTGAATGTATACGGTTATCTAAATTCAAAGTTTCGCACCTTTTTTTTAAATTTGCCTCATCTCCTCCATTTCTGGACGAAGTGTTCCTAGACTATATAAGAATATACACCATCGGAAAATCAATCACGAATTTCGGAGGACAAATCCAATAGATAAAAAAACATCAAAATACCATCCTATTTCTCGATAGAAAGTTTCAACCTCTATTCTGATATTTTTAAACAAGAACGTAATAAAAATTCTTATAAATTAATGACGGAAACAAATGATAAGGAAACAATGTGTAGTGGTTATGGAGGGATATACAGTTCAGTTCTTTCGTCCGTACATAATGTATTAGAAAGAAAGAAAAAAATTGTTATGATTTTACGATGATAACGGAGATCTTACATCAAGTTAAAATAATATATTTCAAAGAATATGCAAACAAGATCATCGTAAGGTAACCAGAAGATTGTATCAAAAGCGAGTGCGTGTGGAAGAGAGTAAGAGACATTATATGAGTTGGTTCTCATGTGGCTATGAGGATTTGGCATGAGGATGCCAACTCTTTTGCTCAATTTCATTGAACAAAAGAATAAAATATGTGAATTGAAATGATCAAGTTATATTTGTTTAAAGAGAGGGAATATTTTTTTTTCAAGAGTCTAAAATTGTAAATATAATGTAGAAACTATTGAACAGTAAAAAAGTTATAACAATGAACCATAAAAATATGACAAAAAAAAAATGAAAACTTTATTCAGAATACATATAAAAAAGTTGTGAGACAATGTAAACAAATATGACTTCAAGTTCATTTTGCATTACCAAATTATATTTCATTTATCTCTACATGAAATTTGACTACATATTTGATTTGAGACAAAAAAAAATCTTATAAAAATTATGAACCTTAAATACCTAATGTGAAAAACCATAAACAAAAATATATATTATAATTAAAAGTGCACGCGCATGCACGAGCTAAAAATCTAGTTAAACATATGACAAAGTATATTTTGAAATTTTTTTTTGGTTATTCAACAAATTGACCCAATAATAAATGGTAAGCAAAATGTTAAGAAAAAAATGGTTGGTTTGTTATTTTCAAACGTTTGCCAACTTCTGCAGCTTCATAAACAACAAAAGAAATTAAAAGACGATCATGGAACCACAATGGGTCTCCTATCATAATATAGGAGTGAGATTTTCCGTCTCGAGTAACAATTTTTTAAATCTCAAGGATCATAAAGTAGCCCAACACAAATAATTGGGAATTGTACAAAACAAGCCAGTGACCAGAAAATTAATCTTATCATGGAAGGTTGGGCAACAAACACTGAAGAGCCTTTCAATATCTGCCTAGTACCGGGTGACGGAGACTACGCCTTAAGTATGCATTATGCTCAAAGTTTGCACCATAACCCACTCATCGTATATCGTCCAGGAAATATCTCCGATGACATGAAGAGAGTGGGTTATTGTCGCTGGAGTTTGCATGAAGTGTTGGAGATCGATGCTTGATACATAGATGATACATCAATGCTGGTGGCAGTGGGCATTAACTTCTTATTCAGTTATGCATTTGTATAGCTTAAGTAAGGATTCCTTTATCAGTATTATGGTAATCTCTCTGTTAACAATTTCTAGATTCTCCTTTGTAATCACTTTCTAGGCTGAGTCCTATAACAAGGTGTGGTTTCATTGTTGATTTTGTCGACTTTATGCTTAAGCTTTTCGATATGTTTTGATGCATCCACTATGATCAAAAAGATGTTTCGCTCTCCTGTACAACGGGTTCACCATACATATCACTGATATAGTTACATCTTAATACACAAAATTATAAGTTTGGCTCAGGTCCCGTCATCTCAAATCTACCTCCTACAGTCATGACTGAGAAGCTAGAGACTCCAATTTCGTTGACGAAACCCAACGAGAAGCTATCTTGGTGTGACCGTGTGATATGGTCATCGCAACAAATGGCCATAAAAGGTTAATATTTCTTGCTCGATTCATGAGAAATTTGTGTGGAAATCTACGATGGTACAAATAAGCTATAAAAATGGATCCTTGGTGCATCGAAGCTCTCACGCGCTCGATGGTCTACTTGATCCTCTAGATGGTACAAACACGTTTTCTTTCTTCTTCTATCTCCTCGGGTTTTTTTGTTTCCGAATTATGATCTCCGAATTATGAAGAATAAAGATGAATGACAAGTGTTGCATCTGTCTTGCCTCTATAGTGACATATGCCTATCTTGAGTGTTTCCGTAAGTGTCTCTCAATTTTCTTTTCATTATAAATTTTACGTGTTTTTTTGTTTGTGTGGCAAAATTGACTTGTTTTCATATGTTTGTAGATGCGTTTTGCTTAGAATGCATAAAGCAATGGGCACACTAGGGTAAATTATGTTAATGTTTCCCCATTTGTGCGCTTTATCAAGAGATATAATGTCTGCCTACTGGTCTGTTCAGAGAAGCTCTTATGGGACATGGAGAATGTCCCGATTCTCTTTGGCCATAATATTGATGTGCGTGGTTTCATAAACCGGCTAAAATCCTGGTTGGAAAGACATGGCTACACAGGTGACATTAAGTCATAGTCGTTATTGGGAAAGAATAGAGATTTAGCCGCGATGTCACTGATGAGCTTAAGGCAAAGCAAAGAAGTGGAAAAATCACTTATCATGACCTTGCGGATGGTACAAAACAAGCCAGTGACCAGAAAATTAATTTTATCATGGAAGGTTGGGCAACCAACACTGAAGAGCTTTTCAACATCTGCCTAGTAGCGGATGACGGAGACTACGCCTTAAGTATGCATTATTTGCACCATAACCCACTCATTGTATATGGTCCAGAAAATATCTCTGATGACATGAAGAGAGTGGGTTATTATCGCTGGAGTTTGCATGAAGTGCTGAAAATCGATGCTTGATACACAAATGATAATTTTATATGGGGCACGGTATAATTATAGACTAAATATAATTTAATTAATTAAATATATTATGCATATAAAAACAGCTTCATAAATTATCAAAAATTTATGTTATATTTTGATTAAATTTTTTTTTTTTGTATCAAACTATAAAAGTAGAGATTTTTGTTTAGATGTTTATTCATTTAACATACAATTTTATATTGCAAATAATAGTTTCATTTTTATAAATTTAATTGCTAATTTATATAAATATTGACCAAAATATAAGAAATGTAGATATTATAGTTAGAAAACAAGGAAAGAAGATCAGTCGAGAAGTTACATCTATATCTTATAGTTAGGAAAAAAAAACGAAGATAGTCGTCAAGTGGGCTTGAACCCACACAGACAAAGGCACAAACCGTTTGCTACCTTCTTTTTTTTGCCATGGTAACAAGTATGAAGTATCTGAGTTATGCTTATTTGTAAAACTCATCTTTCCTTAATATGAATGTTTACAGTTTTGCAAAAAAAAAAAAATAACAAAATCATTTTGGAGCTTTTTTCTATTCGTAAAATGAAATACTTAAAAAACATTGCAAAATTTGCGTTTGCACGGGGTTAGGTGTTAATGATCACAAATGTATATTGGTTTTGATTTTATCTTTCCTGAAAGAAAATTGTTAAGAGATCTAGAATATTTTCTTATTGCTAGTGTAATATGGCTTTGTCTTATTTTTGTGTGAATGGCGAGTCTTGTGACTTTCTGTTGCGTGACCGTTCGTTCATAAGTTAGCAATATGAGGCTGAACAGTGGCACGTGACTCGGGCGCGTCACGCAAGCGCGTAGCTTTAAAATACGCCTCCTCCACGTTCTACTTTCGTCTCATTTTTAAATTAGCCCCCCCAATATTTAGTGATTACATTATCAACCCCACAAGAATTTAATCATTCCCAAATATGTATAGATAAATCCAAATTTCATGACCAGAGAAACGAATCCAAGGTGTTGTATAATGTATGCCACAATATATAACATTGTCATTAAAGAAATATTTTAAAGTATTGATGAAAATTAAAGAAGCGAGGTGGAAATAATACAATCATTACTTCAGGGGTTATTTTTGATTTTTTTTAACAAAGTTGAAAAATAAATGTTGCTCAATTCAATTGCTCACTGTGGAAAAAAAAGAAAAGCTTCTCAAAAGTCAGTGAGAAAAGCAAAAAAAAAAAAAAATCCGACGTGAGTTGTCTGAAAATCAATAATCCACTAAAATTCGTGTGTGGTTTCTAAATTTCTTCATTTTCGTTTTTGTCTCTTTCAAAAAATAAAAAAATCCGATTTCTCCGACGAAAGGAAGCTAAATCGACGTTTCCCGGTGAATATTTCTTCACGACTATGTCAAAAACTCAAAACTTTATCTCTTTTTTTTTTTTAGATGAGTTTTCCTTTAATAAGGATTTGTTTGTTTTTACTAATTTGATGCAGAAACTTTGAATATATGCTTAAATCAGCTAACTTTTCTTGGTTTGTAGTTTAAAGATTCAGTTAAAAATTCAATCTTGTTAATTTTCCTGCAAAAGCAAAAGTG